GCCAAGACATGGCTAAGACAAGAACAAAGGTCTTGTGACTGCCTGGACTGTATGTGGCATTAATCATAGGCGACGTTTTTCTCTGTGTATCTCTGATAATGCTTTTCAGCTGTTAACCTCACTGTCTGCTTATCTAATGCTGTCCTCATACCTCTTTCTGCGGGGTCCTGTGCTGCTTATACTCATGATAGACAAAAAGCTAAATAAACCCCAGGCATGAGATCACCCAAGTTCATTACGGATCTCAGATCTGCGGAGGCAAAAGGCTCATGCAGTATCCCAGTGTGTTGCTTGGCCTCCCCAGACCGCTTAATTTTAAAGTGATCATTTAGCACTAACCTGGAAACACACGACAGCCTTCAAAATGAAAACAATCTGTTTAGGCAGGTGGGAAATGAAACCAGTCCTAATGGCCATAATGGTTTTCTCTGAAGGCCCCAGGCCTCATTCTGTCTCTGATAGCAATATAATCTTTTATAGCGTCTGTGAAGTTTCCTAATAAATAAGCGTTCCTTGGTCCTGGTGGTTGAAGATGCTGTACAGGTGCATCATGAAAGTGCACTGACAGACTGTTGGTTTTCAATTCAAGACCTCTTGTCAAGATCATTTTACAAGATATTTCAAAGGAGTACACAAGAAATAAAAAAGCCATGTAGCTGCAGCAGGGATTTGGTAATAGATTCCCTTGCTGTCTGGGAGCTGTTAGGGATACAAGTTGCATCGGTTTTCCCAAGTTCTTTCAACCCCATAGTTAGCAATGCTTGCAAATGTGATCTTAGTTTGGCAAGTGGGGAGGGAATGAAGGAAGGTAAGAAATATGAAGGAAAGGGAATGAGCAGTTGCTCCAGAATATTTTCTGTAGCTCCAGTCATTCTTTCTTATCCTGTCTTTGTTGCTTTTCCAGAACTGGAAATGGAATTAAAATAAGGAAGAGAAGAGGGAGATGGACTCCTCACATGCCAAAAATGTAGAGAAATTCCCTTTTCCCCACTTTGGTATTTTTACAAGTTCCTATTTCTATCTTCTCTATGGGGAAGAGAAATGGTACTTTCCCCAGTAGTACTTCCCTGGAGCTAATGGGACAGAGGGAGAAACAAAACAGGAGGGCAATGGAGGGAGTCAGAATACCCATTTGATTATTGAAAGTTAAACTGCAGTGTCAGGTAGGAAACTTTTCCTGCATGTGGTGTTGTCTCTTGGTGCTTTAAACCCTGCCAGGTCCTACCTGGATCACCAGCAGTTAGATTATCCTCACAATGCTCTTCCCTGGTTTACAGATAGACAAAAAAATGTGGATATGTGCTGCACTATTACCCTCTATTTATCAGTGATGATTGTGGAGAGGTGTGTTATTCTATAATACAATCTGTATGGCAGATTCTCTCTCTGTAGGGTTTATTTCATTGCCTTGTTATACAGCTATCAATAATGTGTTCCTTCCCTTATATATTGTTCATGCTTGGAACACCCAGAAATCCTAAACTGGTTTTGTATTAGGAACATCTATAAATATCTGATCCCATGGGGCAGCAGAACTGTAGCTGACAGCAAGCGTGAATAACCCCCAAAAATCATCTGAATGGAAATTTGAAAGTTGTGAATAATGCTGTTAAGTGAAGGAAAAAAAAGTGATTTATCTGAAAGTATTTTGAGCAGATGCATCATCTGAGTAAGAAAACAGTGTGCCTGAATTGGAAATGTCAGAACTTCAGAGAAACTGAGTCAGTAATTTAGAATGAAATGATACAGCTTTTAAAGGAAGGCAAGCAATGCTGTTTTCCTAAAGGCAATGGGAATACAAATTGTGTACACCTTAAAATAAACAGTGTGAAGTATAAACAGGTGAAATAACATAGAAATAAGAAGATAAGAATATATTTAATCTCTTAGCTTCATTTTCTACACAAAGGATGCTGGTATTGCAGGAAGGACACCCTTTTTCCTGCTTGATGGGCCCTGGAGGAGCCTTCGCCTGAGTTAAGGCAGTAGAACAGTGTAAGCCCATATTCTCTTCACATGCAATTCAAGCTCACTTATGATTGATAGCAGGTTCTTTTATCTTTTTACCAGAAATATCAATTTCTAATAATACTGCAAATCAGCTTAGACACTACAGCAAGAACTATCTACTTAACAGGCATTCTGTTCATCTTAGAAACTGGGTATAAATGGTCTTTTGCTCATGGTACTATGAGCAGGTAAGTGAAATGATGCTGCATACTGAGCATTTCTGTTTGCTTGTATTGCAGTATGACACACAAGCCCCGAGGAGAAATAACGTGGGCTTGTGCTAGCATGAAGGGGACTGCAAGAGGTAGCACTGCTTTTAGGCTGCAGACACACTATTTAACCTTTGTCATTCCTGCTAGCCATTAGTCAACTTTGCTCTTAAAGGCTTAAACTCCATGTTCCTCCCTTGCCTAAGTGGGCGACAAATCTTGGCCGTCACTGCCACTGGAAATACATAGCTAACATTACACTGGGGTGTTCCGATTGTGTCCACCCAGAGCAAGCAGAGTGCTCCATCCCCTTCCTCACTGCATCAGCCTTTGGAACAGGGCATTTACCATGTTCCCCCTCAGTTCTTCTTCTTCAACAACCCCAACTCAGTCTGTAATTAATGACAGTCCCTGCCCCAAGCAGCTTGGTAGTGGGCCTGATCAGCCTGATGTCATTACTTCACCATGACAATATTCTAACTAGCTCCATGTGATATTCCATCTGTCTGACACTATTAAAAACTTTTTATATAGCCCTTATAATTGTAGTTGCCGAGCTCCCTGCAAACATCACAGTGAGGAAGGGAAGTGCTGTTATCCCCACTGAGGCACAGGCAGACCATGACCTGCCAAGATCACACAGCAAGTCTTATCAGAGAATTAAATGAAGGTCTCTGAAGTCCTTGGCTAGCTCTAGCTGTACGGTATGTTAATGTGGCACATCAAGGATGCTCCTGGAGTGGCAAGCAGCTAGGGCAAATATAAAATTGCATGTGAGGATTTTAGTATTTCTTAATAAAATCTTACTTTATTTTCAATAAAGGTAAGATTATGGGCACGATGTCCCAGATAAAAAACTAGTTAAGTAGCACATCTTTGGTTCCTGTCTGAAGTAATTTAATAACGGCACAATTACACCTCGTTGTTCACCGGACATAACTGAGAAGCCATTTAATCCTCATGTACAAAGAAGCTTGCAGTTAAATTCTGTTTGATAAGTGTTAAATTAAAGCTCTAGCATATGGGTGAGGAACCTAAAGCCAGCTAAGTGACTTTCAGTTTTGTTTACCAGAGCTTGCTGCTGTGTGATTTGCTTTCTACTTTGTATTGAATGAGGGATGTGTTAATGGGTGGCCTACCCAAGCATATGAAAGCCCTACCTGGTCTTCAGCAAACAGAAGCATTCTTGGTTTAGCCTTAAAGCAATACAGACTGTCAGGAGCATGTAGAGTTTTAGTGCTGCTCTAATTCAGACTGGACTTTTTGCATCTGCGCTGTATATTGGAAGTGCTAAAAGGGACTTTTACACATCCAAGTATAACCATTCTGACCATGAAAATACCAAGACAACATCAATTCTGCTAAATCTGCTTTTGCTCTTTGCACATGCAGTGCAGCAAGAAGGGCAGAGGAGAATCACCTCAGTTTTTTGCTTGAGACTATCCCAGATTAACTCTTAAATCTTGGTTTGTTTAAGTCACTGGGTATTTCCCCATAACTTGCACAGATTATATTGTAAAAATCTCTTCAAAGGTCAATTTAGAACCTTCTAAGCAAATAAACACGAAGTAAAGGAAAAGGCATTGGCACTGTTATCTAGCTGAGAGCTTAACAAAAGGTATGCTAGCTTAATTTGAGCCAGGAGAGCTGGATGGAGATTGCGTTTAACCAGAAATGCTGGCAAAAATATGCTTCAGTAGAGCCAGAATCACATGTGGCCATTCCACTTTAATTGTGCTTGGTTTAAAAGATAGGTCTTTAACATTTACCCTCTCCATGCTTGCTGTCTTTTTATGAACTGAAAATAAAAGCTCCCCAGGCAGTCGTACTAAGACCTCAAGCCTAACATTGTTCAGCTGAGTCAAATGCAAAACCTGCGCTCAATCTGCCCCTGCATTTTTTGTAGCCATAAGGAGATTGGACTGGTTTCCTTCCCGAGTCCCCAGTCTGGTCCTAACCCAGGGAGCCAGTGTTTTGATACTAAATGTGTCTCCTCAGTGAGGTCAAAGGCAGTGGCAGCAGTGCTACTGGTTCCAAGGCAGCCTGCTGTAATGTACTACAACACCCGAAAGTACGCTCAACAATAACAAAAGCATTAACCGCTGACCCACAACTTGGTGAAATTCAATCCCACCATTAGGCAAACATGAAAATGAGATCCCAGAGGAAGGAAGGTTCAGATGTTCAAGACCAGAGAAATTGGGTGAGGAACACAGGCGACGAGATGGGAAGTTGTTGCAGACTGAGGGGAGGGAAGGGGAGGCTGCCAGTTCAGCGGTAGGATTTTTTAATACCAGAAATTTCAACATGCATTTAGGCAGTGTTTTTGCTCCACTTTGGATCAAAGCAAGCTAAAACCATTTATAATAAAGATACTTTTCACTATTTTAGGGACATGTTTAATGTGATATTGTTTGATTTCCCAGGGGTTCCATAATGTTTCCAGATTTGTTTCCAGATTTGCTCTAAGTTAGATGTTTGTGTCAAAGTGTAAGTGCTCACCACAAGGCTGCAGTGTTAGAGGAACCTGAAAGAGCTAAACACCCAAGTCTGACTCTGGTTTATCTTGTTTCAGGTGGGTTACAGATTTACACCACTGTCACTAAGTATATTTCAGCGAGAGTCAGATGCACCCTAGAAAACACAAGTCATGAGTTCTGTGTCTCAGTAATGAGTAATGGTCCGTGTGCTGCAGCCATCATTGGCAGGAGGCTGGAGATGGGGCACTGACAGGGCTGCACGCTCTCTGTTGTTGTTACAGTGCCTTGCTTTTCTCCCCAGAACACACTCAATGCAGATGACCATTCCCCTGAAGACAGCTTCACCTTGAACCCCGAGGACAGACGAGAATACCCCGATCTCCAGGCTGCCCACCGGCCGTTCCCCAAGCAGCACTTCAGGCAGGAGAATGGGCATACGTCCTTGCAAAGAGATGGACCCAGATCTTTCCTCCTGGATCTCCCAAACTTCCCCGACCTGTCAAAAGCAGATATCAATGGGCAGAATCCCAACATTCAGGTACAAATTTATGTTAACGTGTGGGGGTTTTTATGAGCTGCACAAAATGTTTTACTGAGTCATGACAACTTTCAGCCTGGCTTCTATGACATACAGTCAGAACACCCTGGCTCTCTACCAGTAGCACCAAGAAAGAATGAATATAATATATACACATCTATAATGTAATTTTTGCCTTAACTGAATGCATAGATTTCATTTTTGGTTTTATTTTCCCTTTGGATAGTGTTGGTTGCATGAGTTTGAGCATCAGTACAGGCCTATTTATGATATTAAAGCCATCTTTACTGTTGCCATTTTGGAACATATTATCTTTGTCGATATTAAATGGGCATTTTAAATTCTGTTTTCAATTCTCTCTTGCAAACACTGTGAACAGCATCTCTTTCAGCATGCTATTAGAAAATGCAACCATCCCCAAAGGTTATAAGATAGAAAGTCTGTTAAGTTTCGCCTCAAAACATGGTCCTCAATATGGAACCAAGACTTAATCTCTGTAGCAGCTGCCTGGAGTTAAGAAAAAAGTTGACTGCAAGAAACTTTGTTATTCCTCAAACTGTTCTTGGGTTTGGAATGGCCTCTTACAAGCCACTTGCATCTTGAAAACTTGAAGGATTAGAAAGAGGAAAAAATGAGTGATTTGTTTTTAATTCAGAGCCTTAAAGCAAAATTGGCATTAATAAGCAGTCTTTTTTAACCAAAACAATAACGTGAAATGTTGTTCTGCCTAAGATGTACTTATAAAAACAATACACTAACAGAACTGGTTTTCTGGTTAAATTAATTCCTGGCTTCGTATAGTTCCCCAGCCCACAAAATTACCATTCTTTTGATATGTCTAAGAAGTATGTACATAAAGATATAATAAATCTGTTGGTGAGAGAGCAACATGATCAGAGGGCTGGAGCACCTCTCCTGTGGAGACAGGCTGAGAGGGTTGGGATTATTCAGCTGGAAAAGAGAAAGCTCTGGGGAAATCTTATAACAGTCTTCCAATACCTAAAGGGGCTGACAAGAAATCTGGAGAGGGACTTTTTACAAGGGCCTGTAGTGACAGGACAAGGGGGAATGGCTTTAACCTGACAGAAGGAAGATTTGTATTAGACATTAGGAAGAAATTCTTCCCTGTGAGGGTGCTGAGGCACTGGCACAGGGTGCCCAGAGAAGCTGTGGCTGCCCCATCCCTGCCACTGTTCAAGGCCAGGCTGGACAGGGCTTGGATCAGCCTGGTCTGGTGGAAGGTGTCCCTGCCTGTGGTAGGGGGTCGGAAATGGATGAACTTTAGTGTCCCTTCCAACTCAAACTATTCTGTGATTCTGTGTTCAGGCGAGTGCAAGCTGTCTCCAGTGACACTGCATTATAGATGGCTTACAATGTTAAGAAGTTGAACAGATTTGGATCAACGGCACAGCCAGTATTTGATGGGCCAAGGTAGTAAACGTGCTCAACATGTGCTGACTGTGTACATCGCTCACACTAGGACAAGCCTTCCAGAAAGCCTTAGGAAAGGAAGGCAGGGAAGTATAGGGGCCCCAGATTGTGGCATGAGGTAAATAGTGTAACATCATTGTTTGAACAGTATGTAAACCACAGAGGAAGACAAGGGGAAAAAACAACCTTCTCTGATTGGTAACAGCATTTAATGTTTAGACCCAGGGAATAGATAAATGGAAACATTTCTCTGGACTGTCTTTATAGGAAGTGCTTTCTGCTATGACCTCTTTTTCCACCACCTGATCTTGGAAACGTGTCAGCAGAGTTGCTGGACTCTGAGAACTGGGAAGGCTGGTCCTGTAAACTGGAAAACATTGGGCAACATTAATCCCAGAGCTCTTGTGCACAAGATCAGCTCGTTCTGAAACAGGCTCCCTAAATTCTGCGTTATGTTTACTCGGCTTACTTAGGTGCATTAATAGGGATATACAAAGCTGCTTTAAGTTCCTGGTTGACAGTCCTGCAGCAGGTCAGGCCTCATGGAGATACAACTCCCATTAGTTCATTACAGAGTCAGTGAAAGTCTATTTCTTTTCCTAAAAGGTGGCTTACTCTGTTGGGAAACCCAGGATTACAGTGAATTCTTCCTCTTTAAACAGTACTGCACTGACCTGAATGGAAATAATGCCAGCTGTTGACTTGCACATTTCTCATCAGCTGTTTGGCAGGTGAGAGCAGAATCGATGCTCATTTTGCCTTTTGCACAATGGCCTCAGGTTCTGTAAATTACAACCCTGGGGGTGCTAATTTGAGAGTCCTCTTAGGACTGTGAGATTGGAAAGGAGAAAAAAGCCTGTGTGTGTTGATCTAGCACAATGGCCACATTTACTTCTCAAAGGCCCACAACTTCTTTTTGTTTCTACTAGTACAAACCTACGTAGACCAAAAATAACATTTTATTAAGGGAAATTATACCTGGAAATTTTAAAAACCCTAATAAACAGGCATGAACCACAGCCTGAAAAGCAGGTTGAAAAGATATTCCAATGGGCTCTCTTTATGTCCATTCCTTCTCTGGTTTCCCATGAGATGGCAATTGCTGTATCATGCTCTGGCTGTGTGCTCTTTCGGGAAGTGGTAGATATCAGAACACCATCACAGGAATTATGACAACATGCTCCCAGATAATACTGTATTTATCAGGTGACAATCAAATATAAGTACAGTGGACTGTCTTCTAGGAAAAACTTCAGAAACAGCAGTTGGAGCTGCAGTAATCCAAATGCAATGTGACTTTTTGTGTGCAAGATCAAGACAACCCTTACTGGTCTTTCTAAGGCATTCTAGCCTTGTAATATCACCCATCATTTCAAGCAGCATTTTATGCTTTAGCATTGCTTCCGTACTGGTTGTTTGAGAGCAACTGCAGTAGCTGCTCTTGAGCAAAGGCTGGCCATTTGGTTTGGAGAATTGGTTTTCTTGTTTTTTGTCATTTTATCAATTCTGTCTATGCCTGGAAGACTTCTGGATGAGGAGGTGATTGCAAAACTGATCACACGTTTTATTTGCACTTCCTTTCACAAGAGGAAATTCCCTTTTGTGTAGGTTGGCACTCATTTGATGAAGTAGCTGAAGGATGCCTATGCAGACTTGTAATTGGGCAAAGTTATTATTCAGAGTAAGATAGAATTGTTAGCTGTGAGTAACAGAATGAAATCACATGGGAGGTGTATAGGAGCCTGCTTATTTTCCCTTTCCGAGGGGCTTTCCTCATCGTTGTCTTCTTTGCTACCAGCGAATTTTGAGGGTCCTTCACCTTCCATCAAGTCCAGCAAACTGTTCTGAGTGAGCCATCGAGACACAAACAGAACTGAATTGGCGTCACTACTGATACCATTTTAACTGAAGTTGTGTGGCGTAAACCTGCATCTACCATTTCAGTATCTTACAATGAACTCGTTTCTGTTCTGCTGTTACAGTGAGCTCATTGCCGACTTGCACATATCCACCTTTACAGAATGGCAAGTTCTGCATGGAAAATCTACATCAAGGAAGCAGAGGAAAGAAATGTCATGGAATTCAGTGCTTGCACAACATTGCAAATGTAGTTCTTCCTCAAACACGGTCTTCCAGTTGCTTAGGGCAATGTTTATGCCATTAAAGGGAATTCGGAAACACTGTCTCAGTAAACAGGATGAAGTACACTGAACTTTTTGTGCACTCCAACAGGCAGGGATATATTTATCTTCTGTATAGTTTTGGCCAGGAGAAACTTGGATGTTGGTGTCTCAAGACATCTGTGCTTGATCCATTTGTTTCATTAGAAGGTGGCTGCAAATCTGTTGTTCTAATGTACCTATGCCAATTGTTTTTAACCATTTTTAGAGGTCCATCATTATCTGTAGCGCACACAGCCGTAGAAGAAGTGACTTCATTTTAGGTTTGAATACTTCTGGAGATGACTGTGGATTTAGACCAGGACCATGTTACCACAGACATTTTTGGAAGCTTGAGAAAAAAAAAAGTAAATAATCGCTATAGTTTTGATAATCACTGGAAGAAAAAATCAGAGGAAAAGAAGTTTTTTAAACAGTCTCCAAGATAGAAGTCCTAAACCAGATCTATTTCTTAATTTTTGAGAGAACATGTTTTGGTTGGAGTCGTTACACAGCGTGAAAGCTTTTCCAGAGCTGCTTTAAATGCCTGGTTTTAACTACTCTAGATCTGATTACTTTTTTCCTTTCTATAAACAACCCCCAGTGTGGAAACCGATCAAACAAGACATGTATTTGTGTATCAGGTACATGTACCATGTATGTGCAGTTATGGGCTAATGTTAAGTCTGTGAGAACTAGGATGAATTCAGTGAATACTGGATTTTCAGGATTTCAGGCTGGGATAGGGAGCAATAGCTCACCTGAAGCAGCCTCTTCTCTCCCCTCTGCCCTAACTTTGGGTCATACCATGGAGGGACTACAAGGCTTATTCACTGATTTCCTCCCTGCTTCTGGAAGGTCCATTGGAGGTAAATGGGGCTGAGTCCCTGAAACACACAGATTTACAGCCAACTGAAGCTGCCTTTGTTTTTCATCTCCAGGAGTGGCAGTTCAGACAATCCCAAGTTTCTTTATAGAATTTCCTTCACTCTGTGTTTTTTATGCTACATTTTAAACAAATAACTCAGTAATCAAAGCTTAAAAGAGCAGAGAGAAGAATATAGATGTGTGTCAGCATTGGATTTTGCCTTGGTTATGTTCAGTTTTTAAATAGGCAGTGTGTTGGGAAACTCGTTTTAACAGCCTCTACAATAAGCCTCTTTGGTAATAAAAGCAAACTGAAAAGGGATATCTGATTGCACAGACACCTCTTGAAAGTGAGTTAGTGGCAGTGCTGTTGGAGGTCTAACGGTGCTGGGAGGTTGTGTGTTACACCTGCCTCTCTTCCCCTGTGCAGCACAAAGCTCAGCAGGAGTGTCTCTGTCCCTACAAACCCTCTTTTGCTTAAACTGACTTGGCATCCTGAATAAGGATTTCAAATCGAATCCCTATGGTTCTTCAAACTGTACCTGCCTGAAGCAAAGCAAGTTCACGCTGGTTGACTATCACATAACTACAGATTTCCAAAGCAAATGGAATGGTTATCAAGTGCCCCTGCCTTTTTTATGAGAAGGTTTTGTTTGCTTTGGGTTTTTTTGTTTGGGCTTGTGTTGCTTTTGGGTTTTTTCCACTTTGCTGAGTTATTGCTTACAGAGTTAATGTGGTCTTAAATATACTTGCTACTACAATACTGGAGTCCTACTAATTTTCACATGGGCAGTACTAAAGCCTTGCGACCGCTCAGTAACACTATTTCCTTTCACTTATTGTGAAAACTCTGTTTTCCTTGGATAGATGCAACACTTTTGAATCCCTGAACGAACCCTCATGTCTTCAAACTTATGAAATCCATTTTAATTCTTGGTCTGTAGAAACTGAGGTTTAATGAAGTAATCATTCCAAGTCCATATTTAGCCCGGGAGTAAAATATCTTTTGTGTAAAGATGCTGTTAGGCTGACAACTGCACTTTCCCTCACTCTTGCTCTTTCTCCCAGTGGAGCTTCTTAGCAGCCTCAGAGTCATTTCATTTCAATGGCTTGGTCTATGGTCAAATGCAAAGCATGAAATAGATGCAAAATCCCCTTTCTCCGAAAAAGGATGTGTGGGTATTGTCTGTGCAGCTGTGTTGGCATCTCCAAAGCTACGGCAGCAGTTCTGGGTTTTGTCTGTGTCACACTTCTCTGTGGCACACAGGTAGCTGAAGAAACATGGACGCTCTTTTCTTTCTTCTTTATGTGTGTGTCTTGCGATGTTGCTCATAATAACTGTATAAAATGAAACCTTTAATCCATAATGCAAGTCCATAGAGCTGGGTAACTGTTTTATAGTATAACAGAACATTATTCTATTATTCCTGGTTTTACACAACCCAATTTTCATGGAGTAATGTCCTGAAAGACTGCTTTCTAAATTTGTAAACCATGAAGAATACATCCATGCCTATATTAGACCTTACAGATCTATCTGTTAGTCAGTGTTGTATCATGGTTGTTTAGCCAGTCCATTGTAATCACTGAACCACATACATTAGCATGAAGCATCAGAGCACTTACAAGTTCTCTGTGGCCACACAATGCTTGCATGACTCACAGAGCTGGAGTTTCTGATGCCTAGTTCCTATTTCTACCTCAATAGCCACCTATATGCACACACAGTATTTATCCAAGAGTTCCGTAATTACACATTGTTTGACACAGAGAAGGAGTAATCAAGGGGTGTTCCTGTGCAGAATTATATTTACATTCATGTGTCTGTGAGGGAATTGGGCAGCAAGCGTTGAGTCTTGGCTCTGGGCTTCTATAGAAACTGTGAACGAGTTGTGTATCATTGTACTCCAGCACATAAGGAGGACCTACTTCAGAGGGCTTAGCACTGACTTACTCAGCAATGGCTGGAAGAGCTGCTGGCTCTCATCACGGCAGCATGTGGTCTCACATGCTGGGTGACAGCCCACACGTGATGTGGTGGAAGCACTGGTGCCACTGGATGGGCCATGTAAGGGGCTGGGCTGAGCTGCTTCAGGGCAAGGCAGACCCTGCACTGTGCATCTTCCACATCTGCACTTCTGGTCTTACTCAGCCCTACCTTGAGCCAGTCCAAGTCCTTGAAATGGGTTCTGCACACTGGTGTGCTTCATGCTTGCCTCAAAATGAGCCTTAACGTAACAAGAGCATCAGATTTGGGTTTCTTTTCCCTGGTCATGTATGTTTGATTTAAACATCTTTTCCCCATAAGGCAGCGAATTCTCCTGCAAAGCTTTTAGGCACAATATGGGTTATTATTTTGTGCAGAGTTTTTCCTAGCCTTTGTTCCAAGGTCTGATTCAGCAGAGGTAGCAGAAGGAATCACTCAGCCACTGCATATCTCTGGGCTCAGTAACCCACATATGGTTTACAACATGTGAACCCTACAGGATTACACAGCCCCTTTGCAGGGCAACACCAGTCACTTGTCTTCACTGTATAGAAAGTTTCCCACCTACTAGGAGGAGACACTGACAGAGAGGCTGGTCTGTTTTGAATCCCATAGGTTACCATTGAAGTGGTGGATGGCCCTGACACCGAGACGGACAAGGATCTGCAGAAAGAGAGCAGCAAGCCTAGCTGGCCTGTCCCATCGCCTGAATGGAGAAACTGGTGGCAAAGGTCCTCCACCTTGACTCGCATGAGCAGCGGTGACCAGGACTACAAGTACGACAGCACTACTGAGGACAGCAACTTCCTAAACCCTCTTGGTGGGTGGGATAGTCATGCACCCAGTCACCGGACATTTGAGTCCAAGGAGCAGCCAGAGTATGGTAAGTTTGCATTCCAGGCCTCGTATGGGCATCTTGGGATTGTAAAAACGAGTTTGGGGGAAATGAGAATGGCGAGGCATCGCTGAGAGCGTGCCAAGCAAAACAGGATTTTTCAACATGTGGCTTTTGTTCATCAGCTTTTAAATACAAAGCTGTGCAGATGCACAGGCTGTACTGTGGTAGCTGCATTCCACTGGTAAGTCTATAATCTTGAAAATCATACCAGTTATCCCATAAAAGGACCTTTTTTTAGTCCTAAGTGTACTTTTTTTAAAAGCAAAGGAAACAAGGTTTCGCATTTATTTTTAGAGTAAGGAGAAGTACAAATTTAGAGTTGTGCGGTGGTCTGGGAACCCAAATGTAATTATTGGATAAATGAGCGAGATCTAAGACGTGGTAGTATTTGGTGGATACACAAATAAGATGAATTATGTTGGTGCATGTGTGGGGAGTGGCATGTGCAGCAGGAACATTGTGTATTTGCGTGTGCAGTTCTCTTCCAGATGTGTCGTGGGGAAAAACAATTGTTTTCAGCTTGTTGTGTGAAACAGCTGTAGAAACTAGAAACAGAGGGGAGCTACAGGCATTCACTGCCCCAGCGGGCTGTAACTGCCCGCATGGGAATGACTCAAGGAAGGTGAACTAATATGTGCTCACAGGTAGCGCAGAGACTCTCGTATTCAAGGTGTACATGAGTGTAAATCCAGATGTTGTTAGAGCAGGGCTTTGAAGCCACAGCACTTTTACTCTGGCAATTCTGTGGCGTTCCCTAAATACTGCAGAGTGATTCTCATGCACTGCTTCAGTCTCATTTTTCCCCTCTTTTGGTTATCTTGCAGTCCTAGAGCCTTAACAATTGAAAGAGACTTCTCATGGAATCGTGTATTTAAACACATACATATGTATTAAATTTTGTGGCCAGAAGATTAAAGTCTGTCCTTTCTTTCTGCACCTGCATTTATTTGTGGGCACACTTTATTGCCAAGAATTCATATATTAGGCAGGTAAAATAAAATTGCTTTTGCAAGTAATTGTGGTAGAAAAACATTAATAAGTGTTACAGATATAAAAATGGGAAGAACAGGTTGAGCTCCAGCTGAAAACCTAATGTGGTATATTTAATAGTAGATACTCTGTGTTTCACACTGCAGTATAAACACTAGGTAAGTAGGCCTAGAAATTGTCCCAGAGCTCTCTGCTGTACACCAGAGTACCCTCCTGATCGGAAAAGACTCCTGGCCTTCATGGACTAACCTAAAATGTCATGTGCCATTGGCCTGGGACAGGAGGATCATAGAATCCTAGGAACACAGAACAGTTTGGGTTGGAATGGATCTTAAGATCATCCAGTTCCAAACCCATGCCATGGGCAGGGACACCTCACACTAGAGCAGGTTGCTCCAAGCCTCATCCAACCTGGCCTTGAATACTGCCAGGGATGGGGCAGCCACAGCTTCCTTTGGCAGCCTGTTCCAGTGCCTCAGCACCCTCATAGTGAAGAACTTCTTCCTGATACCTAACCTAAATCTTTCCTGTTTAAGTCTGAACCCATCACCCCTTGTTTGTCCTAGCAGCAGATCCTACCCCTATGAGGCTTTTATGCTAGTACCACCCACGCTTCATGCTTCTGTTTCCCTTGTCCTCCCAGGACTTTGAGTCTTTGCATACAAGCATTAACCATGCTCCCATCCACCATGGATACCTGATTCCAGTGTGGTGGCTTCCCGATTGGCAGCCATGTAAGAAAAGGAGGAAAAGCACACGAGGGCCCAGCCACGAGGAGCTCACATCTAGGCAGCTTGCTGCGAGTGAGATATATAACCTTGCCATACTCCTGGCAATAAATGTTTAATAGCACCCCACAGAGTTGTCATCAGTCATTACATATGGTACAAATCAAGTTACGTGTTCTACTAACCAGCTCAGGAAGCCCACAGACAGCATGGCAGGGAGGGGGGAGTGGGAATCACATGCAGCACAGAGGCCAGTGCATGCAGGGATCTGTCCCTGGCTCTTGCCTCCACATACAAATCCAGTTTATAGCAATAGAGCAGGCTTAGAGTCACTAAGCCCAGTTTTGCTTTGCTACCAGTGCTGCTTTAACACCAATAAGCAAAGGCTGCAAGTTATGATCACAGGGTCAGTCCAGTATCTCCTATAGGCTGCACAGAAATCCATTAGGCCAGACATTCCCTAGCAAGAGATGAGGCTCAAGCAGTGAGAAGGCAAGAAAACTGTGTATGGTTCATGGAGTCCATTTGAGGGCCTTCACAAAGTGGGATGTGCAACAGGTAGTTCTGCAAACAAAGGTTCTAAGGTGTTTAGGTGCTTACAGTGGCACTGAGTCATGGTAGTGCATACTTGGTATGCTTTGCCCTTGGCTGTCTACCAGAAGAGAATAGAGTTATGCTTTGTTTTCAGAAGGTTCCTGCTAGTAAACAGTCAGATCTGATGTTATTTAATAATTCACATGAAACACTACAAACTGCATGTTGTTCTGGGTGCAAGATGCCTATGCAGTTCCCTATACTCACAGCAGTATTCCTGTAGTATCTGTTTGCTGTTCCAGGGACTGAAAAACAAATCGCTGTTTTCACACGTGCCCCTCAGCCTCTCATAGCCCAACATGCACTGTGTCCTAAGGACTAATTGAGTATTGTTGTGCTATTGCTGTGTGTGTTTTGAAAAGACAAAAAAGAAAACCTCATTTACCCTGTGCCTGATTAGCCTGTGGTCAGAAAACATATTCCTGTACACAGGGAAACGATGTGGATAGACGTGCACTGTTAGTTCATGACCCAGCTCCGCAGCTGAGGGTTCTCAGCTGCCAAAAGGTCAAAAGAGAAAGGAAATATTTTTTCAAATCATGTTGCATGCATTTCCCTGAGGAGCATCAAGTGTGAAAACCATTTAAATAGCAGGCTTACGCCTGGCATTTAGCCCGAGCTTCAGGTAGAGACATCTGGATTCCATTCTTGTTTTGCCTGCTTAATAAAAACCACTACACAGTAGTTTGGGGCAGTAGGAGTTTTGTTTCTTCATTTCCTTCCTCATCTTTGTTCTCACACAGATTACATGGATGGCGAGGGAGACTGGAGCCCGTGGTCCCTCTGCAGCGTCACCTGCGGCAGCGGCAACCAGAAGAGGACGAGGTCCTGCGGGTACGCCTGCACGGCCACCGAGTCGCGGACCTGTGACCGGCCCAACTGCCCAGGTATGAGCATGGCGAGGGAGCTGCTGGCTCAGGTGTGATGTCCAGAGAGCCACTGGCTCGAATGTGATTGTGTCCACTGAGCTGGGGAGTGGGGAGAGGCAGGCAAGCAGCAGGAGAGCCATTCTGTCCACAAAGCCATGCGGCCATTCATTCCCTAGCTAGGTAAGAGTTCCAGTGGGAAGAGCCACACTGGTTTTCAAGGCCATTCACAAAATGGCAGGATAGAATCATAGAATCATAGAATAGTTAGGGTTGGAAAGGACCTCAAGATCATCAAGCTCCAACCCCCCTGCCATGGGCAGGGACACCTCGCTCTAAACCATATTACCCAAGGCCTCATCCAACCTGGCCCTGAACACTGCCAGGGATGAAGCATTCACAACGTCCCTGGACAACCCATTCCAGTGCCTCACTATCCTAACAGGAAAGAATTTCCTCCTTATAGCTAATCTAAACTTCCCCTGTTTCAGTTTTAACCCATTACCCCCTGTCCTGTCACTACAGTCCCTAATGAAGAGCCCATTCCCAGCATCCCTATAGGCCCCCTTCAGATACTGGAAGGCTGCTATGAGGTCTCCACGCAGCCTTCTCTTCTCCAGGCTGAACAGCCCCAACTTTCTCAGCCGATCTTCATATGGGAGGTGCTCCAGTCCCCTGATCATCCTCGTGGCCTCCTTTGGACTTGTTCCATGTCCTTTTTATGTTGAGGACACCAGAACTGTACACAATACTCCAGGTGAGGCCTCACGAGAGCAGAATAAAGGGGCAGGATCACCTCCTTGGACCTGCTGGTCATGCTCCTTTTGATGCAGCCCAGGATACGGTTCTTTGCTAGTAATAATGTGCTGCTAGATCCAGTCCCCTGGGACTTGAAAGACAAGTACAGGCTTTTGCAGGGTTATACGGCAGTCATCTCTGCGCACAGTACATTTGTATTCCAAGGGGTGAAATCTACTCTATGGAAACAAATTTGTATGAATTTTAGCATTTCAAAACAGCTGTGCTGTCACCTCAGTGAGCTCAGGTTTTGCTGTGCAACGGGTGGGCATGCCTGCCTTGTGACCAAAGAGCTCCCTCTCAGCTTTATGGCTTTTAAGTTTTGTGCCTAATATATACAGAGTTGCTTTAAGACTGCGTATGTATTAATATGGAAAAAAAAAACCCACTTTAAATACCTGCTTTGCATTTCACTCCAGAGATTTTGGGTCCATTGGGCATTAAACTACAAAATTTCCTGTCCTGGAAAGTCAATGTTAAGGTGGAAATGTCACCTCTGTTTCCTTAACATGATGCTTGATAATTGGAGAATTATAAATCAGCAGAGTTTGGTTCCACAACAGCTGTGCACAATGGGATGAAGGAATGTGTAGTTTTGGCTTGACTGTATGCAGAAAATATGGCCAAGGAGCCTTAACTTAGCTCTGACCCATCTATAGGCATTGGCATTTAAATGCCAGTAACAGAGGCATCCTTGCCATCATACAGTGGTGAAAGCAGGGCTGAGCACTCAAACCTACGTCATAAACATTTAAAGCTGCTGTGGAAAACTTTCCTGTGATGTTCTTTAAATGCTGCTGCCTGTTAGGGTTTAGGCAAATGTGTAATGCAGTGATGCAGGAGGTGCCACAATGCATGGGATATGCGCGATTTCATTACTTCCCGAGATGGGAGAGAAGTAAAAACACATGCTGTGGTGGTATGCATTTCACTGAGTTTACTTAATGACTCCGAAAGGCAGAAATACTTAAACTGGAGGTCAGGTTTTTTGATGGGAAGTGAAATGTCAGCAGTGCTGGAGAGAAGACACAGGATCCTCAATGAGAACGATAGAAGTTTCCCACTCGCAGGTAGATGTGAGTTGCAATCGCATCTATTGCCAGGTAATGGCTGCTAGGCACTTCAGGAGAAAAATGTTCGTGGATGCTCTCATACATCCTAAACCCACAATAATAAGGGGTTAATTCCAGAAGAGAGCGTGTAGCCCCCAGTTATACTCCCCAGTATTTATTACCAGCTAGCATCAAACAGTGGCAAACTTGAAAGGAGATATTATGTCATATAACAGACCTCCAACGATCAGCAGGCAAAATATGTTCACTCTTTGAGGCTGTGCTGACATTTTTCAAATTACAAGGGCAAAGCTCAGCTTCTGCTGTTTATAATTCCAGCAGTGAATTAATGCCTTGTAATGGGTTCTTGGGTATCTATTATTCTGCATCTACTGCTAGAGTTAAGGCAAAACCCGATGATAATTTTATTGAAGAGCAGCCTGGGGCTGTTTTGAAGCTTTGCAAGCCACTATTATACACCAGTTCAAAAGATCAGGAGAAAGTTCGTTGGCAAGAAGATGGATGCTGAACAGGCTCCATTATTAACCATATAGTTATCACATATTAAAGAGCCTTCTGCTCTCTTTGGAGGTCTTTAATTCAATGGAGAGGCAAAAAACAACCCAAACCTGTTCAAATGCTTCTTTGAAGAGGCGTTTGTTTTAAGGGTAGATGGCACAGAAATGAGGGAAGCATTGAGCTGGTAGGTAGGCCTACCCAAAGCAGCAATGAGAGGATGTTTACTTTGGCAAGACCAATTAATACGTTTTCTGGCAAGCCCTCTGTCTCTCTACTGATAGCAAACACTTACTGGAGGCTGTTGGAAGATCCTGGTATTTAATTGCTGTAGGTGGTAGGAGATGGGATTGATTGGAGAGGTTATTTATCTCATGCCTACTCACACCTTTCAACTCCCCAGACTGGGAGAGACCAACAAGCACCAGTCTTCTTGTAGCATCACTCTTCCTCGTACTTCATATGTGGCTGGATGTGAACTTACCTGTCTTCAGGCATGTCTCTGTTTTAGAAGTAGCACAAAGGCTGTCTCTTTTCAGACACCACGTTTTGCCCAAGCTGTTAGAGCTTCCACTGAGACACTTGTAACTTGTGACCTGTGCTTTCAAGAAGGTGTTGATCACGTAAAGCTGACCCCATGGCTTTTGGTAAAGTGTGTATAAAGCTCCCGCTGGAATTACTGGGAGAGGCTGGCAAGCCTTGCATCAGGAAGAGGAGGAACAGTGTCAGTTCCCTCACTACTGCCCTTGCACTGTATTCATAACTGACCACTTTGTTGCTTAAATATAGTCTAAGCTCTGCAACTGGAAAACTTTTGACCTTTGGCCTAAGTTAGTGCTTTATCCTCTGAATACCATAGATGCCTTGGCCATTATACTTTTAAACAAACACCTTCTTGAGCAGCAACCTCAGGTTACTGCCCTGATGAACAAAAGCACCTTGGAGAACTGAGGAAGGACGGGTGGCAGGGAAGCAGTTGATCTCATTGTGTTTTAATAGGAAAACACCATCACCACTAACATGTGTTTGTCTTAGGGATTGAAGATACCTTCCGGACAGCTGCCACAGAAGTGAGCTTACTTGCGGGAAGTGAAGACTTCAATGCTACCAAGCTGTTTGAAGTTGGTAAGCAGCCTAGTCACTCTTCCAGTATCAGATAAGAGACTTCCTTAGATTTTCCTGGTTTGACTCTTGCTGTAGGACCAAGGCTTTGAGTTTACCATTAAAAACGTCAGTAGTAAAGGCCATTTATTATCTTGCTTAAGTTTACGATCTGAACCTTAGCTTGCTTCTGCCCTCTTAAGCCTTAGTAAATGTCTGTGCTTCTCTCATTATAAACTGGTGGTTCTCTGTCCTAGTTCAGAAAGGGCTGTAAGGCTCCGTGCTAATGGAGGAGGGAGGCAAATCAAACACTGTGCTTTGGATTTTCAGCATTATGCTGAAATAGCCTCAAATGGAAGATAGTGTAAAAGCATTTTAGGTACAGATGAGAAAAATCAACAGTGACTTTTACAAGCATGCACAGTTTTATAACTGTGTGTGCTGCAGTGGGGCTAGCCAGAGCAATTTTATAAGGCATAACTCAACACTGATCTACATAAAACTCAGTTCAACATCTGTAACATTCTGATTTCATCCCCCTAGTGAAACTGTAGTGTGGCCACTCCTTGACAGTGGATGTGGGCTAATTGGATAAATAATGTAACCCAGCACCTCCCTCCTATGGCGGTAGAGCACAATAGGACTCTTTAAGGAGATAAAAAAACAGGACACAGATCACTTAAGTAAATATTTTGCAAAGATGTTTGCTGTACGAGTTTGAGGTCCCAGCCTTTGCCTTACCCCAGAGTCCTGTTAAGTAAGTGTGGAGCAAGATGTGCAGGGAGTTTTAAAACCCATAGCATGATACAGACACATTGAATAATGCTTTGGGTAGGAGATGTTTAACTGGATTCTCCCCAGACTCTTGTGAAATAATAAAGTGCCAGTATTAAATATGCTACTAGTCTATAAATCTCTTTAATCCCAGATGTAAGTCATGGCTCTGGTGACATTAAATCCTCCTAATGTACAGATACTCCAATATTATGTCACATGTGCCCTTCTAGAATCTGAATCACTTTTGGCTGCATTTGACAGCTGTCAGTCTCCACGTTTGAACCACAGTTACTTGAAATACCCCTTTGGGAAGGTTGAGACCAAATAGAAAAAGTATTTGTTAGTTAAAGATAAGACCAAATTAGGGCTTAATAATAAACTTCAGAAAAAGCAATCCAGGCCTTGCTTGCCACCTTGGCATTTCTAGCATCATGAGAAACTTCAACATGTGAATCTGCTGTTCTTACAGGATGAGTGGTCTAGCGGTTCAAACTGGAGACCAGCATCAAATCACCCTGATTTCCCTATTTCAGTTCTGTCACTTGTAAACCCATAGTAGTTTGTAAACCCTCTTGTGCTGCATGGGGATGCTTGCAGGTTGATTAGAATCTGCCAGGTAGGAGGAAAGCTGAAGATTCTTCCTGGCACAGTGCTGCACTATGATTCAGACTAGCAGTGCCTGAGGCCCTAAAGGCAGTCACACATGTGATTTCTTCATCTGTCAAGACAGCACATTGCAGGGAGGCAAGCGCTGACTGCCCTTTCCTTCTTAAGCAAAGCACTGGTGCTGGACAGTTACTTATTTGTTACCACTGATCATACGAACTGGGATGTTGCGTAATGTCTCTTAAGTTTCCATTTCCTGCCCTTAAACAGATACTGATAGCTGCGAAAGATGGATGAGCTGCAAAAGCGAGTTCTTGAAGAAATATATGCACAAAGTGGTCAATGATCTTCCCAGCTGCCCATGCTCCTACCCCAGAGAAGTTGCATACAGCACTGCTGAAATCTATGATCGACTGAAGAGGAAAAACTTCCGCTGGAAAGATGCGAGTGGTCCAAAGGAAAAACTGGAGATCTATAAACCCACTGCACGATACTGCATCCGCTCCATGCTCTCTTTGGAAAGCACAACACTTGCAGCACAGCACTGCTGCTATGATGATAATATGCAGCTGATTACCAGAGGGAAAGGGGCAGGCACGCCGAACCTGATCAGCATTGAATTCTCAGCAGAACTCCATTACAAAGTGGACATTCTGCCTTGGATTATATGCAAAGGTGACTGGAGCCGGTACAATGAAGCGCGGCCTCCAAACAATGGGCAGAAGTGCACAGAAAACCCTTCAGATGAAGACTACTACAAGCAATTTCAAGAAGCAAGGGAATACTGAGATGTTCCTCCTCTTGAGACACAAAATAGCATTCGTTTCCTGGATGCCAAAGAACTGATAACGGCTGCTGCATTGTCTCCTTGACAGGGGTTGATCAGTTTCTTTCTAATGAATGTATATAGTTGTAATATAATACATAAGTATTTTTCATAGTGTGTGTAATTTATAAACACATATCTCTCTATCTCACACACACCTATTTTTACATACAGACATACATAAAACTTGTCCTGGTAGGATTTTATACTGCAATAACATTCATTTAACAATGTGCATTTCATTTTATTCCCCAACTGTAACAGAAGTGTGAGGTGGAGGCAAGGGGGGGGCAGCTGCCATCACCATCAGGCCCCAAGGCTCCAACTGAGAAGGGCCCATAGTTAAAAGTTGTTATAAACATTAGGATTGAAGAATGCACTCTTCCATATGGGAACGGTTTACAAGATTAATGCACCTACAGCATCAGTTTTCTCTATAATTGACTTCATGACTAATCATATCTAAGAAAGGAAGACTGTTTTTTTGAAGGGTAATACTCAAAAGTGGATATAGACAGTTACATTTTGTCTTGGTTTTCTTCCTATTATGGTCGAGCTCGGGTCTTTGCAGCCCATCTGGGATAGGCTTGCAGGGAGATGTAGCTGTGGTTTTCCTATGGACCAGAAAAGGTCTGATGCAGTGGTTGTGCGAGAGTTACAGGTCAGGTATGGAACTACAGCCGTCGGGGCTTATGTTCTACACTGGGAGCAGATCTTCAGGGCAGCCACATGTAAACCGGGCTCAGCATAGTTCACTGGAGGAGTTAGGCCAGAGGAGGAAACCATGTCAAAGGGAAATAAAAGGAAAAATCACAATTTTCAATAGGAAGAGTGTTGAGATCTGTTTGCTTCTTTCTTTCAAGAAAAGAAAGATCATTTTTTAAAAGAAAACAAAAATCAGAATACACATTTCTAAGCTCCCTGAGACAAAGCATGCAACCAGCCCTTTTCCCTCATCTACCATACACCAAGTGCACAGCGTTCTACAGAAGAAGCTGTTCTTTCAGGAAGCTGTCTGGGAGGAACTATTGGTGAGTCAAAATGTCTTAAGTTTTAAAAAGCTAGCATTATTTTTGTAAAGTATTTATTGAATTGTAACAATAACTCACATGCGGGATATGTGTCTGACATGAGAGGCTTCTGCAGATGGAACTTAATCGCCAAGAACAAGACTGTTGTTAGGCAAAGGTTTTACTTCCAAATTTTAATAGAGTGCCAGTTTACGTACGTAATCCTGTAATTAAGCAGCTGATAACCTGCATTCTTATGAAAGATAAAAACTACACCATGGGTAAATAAACACAGTTCCATCCTCCAAAAGGCTGTCCTGCTGCAAGTCCATGTCTTCATTTGGAAAATTAAGACTAAATGTTACTAGGGTAATGCCTATTTGGGGTTATGTGGGCTGATGTATGTGTGGAACCTCACACAGCGGCAATGCAAATCTTGCATTGCCATCAGTCTTAGCTGGAAGATTGGCCATGAAAGACAATTTCTCCTGCTATGCACATACACACACCTATTCTGTAGGGCTTTTCTCTAGCTCTGTGACCTTTCAGGTGCTGGTCAATTGCAGCTTCCTGGATAGATGTACATGTGCACGGCTCCCCCAGCATCAACATGTGCATGGCAAGTCCTGGGAAACATCAGGCTTGTGTTGCTTTGCCCAAGTGGTGAAAGAGGATTAAAAAGCAGCCTAGGCCCTGGCCACCCGCTCTGACCAGAGGAGTGGTGCACACACTGTGGAGGCTCTTTTACATTCCAGGCTTCCAGAGAGACAGCAGCCCCAGCAAAGCCATTGAGCATCCGCAATAGCGACCTACCGAGGTGACTGCAGCAGCTGGAAGTCTTGGCCAAGCCATTGGATCTCCCCAGATGTGGGCTGCAGTTGGAGATGGGGGGAGTCATGGATGTATTATAGCACTAGCTGATAGTAACAAAACATGGTTGGTTGAGCAAGAGGATGAACATGGGGATTGCCCCTTCATTTTTATAAAACCCAGGTTTTGCAGATTCTTGCGAGGTCATAAGAAGGAGCCACCAGCTCATGGAGCCAGTTAAATTGACAGCAGATGGATGAAAGGCATAAGCAGCTCCAGGATCAGCCAATTCATAGGGAAGACAGGTATTTTCTGCAACACGGGGGAGAAAGAGCTGCTTTTTACTTCACTGAGCAGCATGGGGGGAACTACAGTCTCAGGTTTCTCCTGTCACAATTCTTCAAACACAAAACCCATCCCTGCAGTTTATGGATTAGTAAATTATGGTGCTATTGAGAAATGCTGCTGCATCATTAATACTGAGCATAACAAAGTGTCAGGGAAGAGAAATTATTCTAATAACTGAAATGACGCACACAGCTCTAAGTGTTCCCACTCATAGCTTGCCAAGGCTAGCAGCTCTGAAGGAGCCCGAGAACCGCTGGTGGGGACCTACCAGGTTTTTTGTAGGATGAGTTGTAGAGCACAGAGTGAGGGAGCATTCACACTTCTGCAGTCTTCAGCTACAGTCTGAATGGAAAACAGCCCTATTTTACAATAAATTATGATCTGTTCAGGGCTGGGCTGCTTTTTTCTGTTCTGTTTTCCTTGTCTCATTTCCAATGACTTGAATTGTACCTGGAATGACTTTGTGTAGGAGTCCTTAGCAAGGTGCTGGAGTTTACCATGGCCAAATTTGGGTCAGTGTCTTAAATACAGAGCTCTTCATGTTAGAGTAAGACCTGAGGAAGGATTTGTGCTCTTACTTCGTGAGGCACAGGGCAGTTGTTAGAAGAAGCTGTTAACATTTCGAAGTTACTACCAAACAGACATATTGGATGACCCAACCAAAGATGTGAGCGGGATAGAAACAAGCAGAACTAAACAGCACGTGTGGTCTCAGCACTGATAAATCCTGAGCCCCCACTCCAGTAGTCATCCTGCTCCCAAAAGGGAACTTTAATTATAGACTCTACACAACTGCTCCATATCTGAGCTGTTGTGTTTACCAGTGTCTTATCAGCAAAGCCAGAGCAGGGTGTGCTCACCACCCCCCCCCCCCCAGCCTCTTGTTCCTCTGCACTGCCTTTCTCTTGGGCAAGCACAGCTGTTTGTGCAGCAAGAGGAAGCAGCCAAGTCATCCAAGTTATTTTTAACCCTGATCGATCAACAGATACACATGACCTCATGGATTCAGCCGAGTTGGCAGGAATGCCTGAAGCTGGCACTGCTGCTGAGAAAGATGTGCGGAGCGGTGCCCCGAGGCAGACACAAATGAATGGAGCACATACCTTTGATGGTTAAAAGGATGAGCGGGTCTGGCTGCACATCGCCCAGCTGTGGAGCAGCAAAATTCCACTAACGTATCCCACACTGAGGCATATGGGTTGTAGGACAATACAGCGAAAAGCAAAACCACACACACACATACTGACTAATCCCCACTGTCCTGCATTAGTTACCAGCTGCATTCCCCCCACTGTGCAGAGTAGTTAGTACTGTCAACATGCATTGCTTCAGAAAATGCCAGTGAGCTCACTGGCCTGCCTTTTCCATAGACAGCATTCCACTGGGATTGTAGGGTGCAGTGAATAAATGATGCACCTGATGTTTCCACCTGAGTGGGGTCAGACGAGCCGAAGAGGGTGAAAAGCGACCTCTCCCAGTGGATGTGTCTGCTGCTACCTGCAGGGGTAGCAGGATGCATGTGAGCCACTTGGCAAGGGGATGCCCTGCCAGAACGCAGCAGTCCCTGATGCCAACATTTCCTACCTGTGGTGGTCTCCCTGGTCAGCAGCAGGAAAGCACTGAGGGAGCACCTGCACTTGGTGGGGATGGTCCAGAGGCTGCTTGTGGAGCTGCTGGTGCTCCCCCACGCCTCCCCTTGCTCCCCTTCCTGCTTTTGCCATCAAGGCACCAGCAGCCATTGTGGCACCGCAGGTTCTGCTCAGCAGCACTCAACGCATTCATCCATCCTTGGAGACAATCACTCATGTTCAGGCTGGGCAGGCAGCACAGAAACCCGGTGAGAACCATTCCTAGCTGGTCAAGAAGCTGGTAGGGCAGTGGGGCTGCTCATAACCCTCCATCCAAAGTAACTGCAGTCTCCATGCAGTCACCCACCCTCATGGGACAGTGGCATGGCAAGGTGCTCTCTTTATAACCCCGAAGAGGAAGCCTGCAAAACAGATATGTACAAGCTGGGGTCTGTTGATGCTCACTGCGTGCACCTGCACAAGCATGGCCATGTCCCTCCCCTCCATAACCACGGATCCTGGAGCACATCAGAGGAAGGACAAAGACCAGACTAAAGATGACACTTCTTCCAGCAAACTGGCGTGGCTCTGTGTGGCTGCCTGGCATGTCTGTGACAGTGGAGCGAGCATGTGTTTTTCTATCATCACCAGTTCCCCCCCCTCGCTCCTTTCCCTTTGTAACTTTTAATGGAAAAATGTGTGGGCAGTTTCCATTATGCCTGCGCTGTTTCAGACAAATTAAGGGGTTGGCTAAGAAATCCCTGGTTTCATGTTTCATGCAAAATACACACACATGCATATATTTATATGTCTGTGTAAATTAATTTAGGATATCCTCTCGCCATGTGCTCCATGGCAGTAGGCTGCGGCGCGCGGTGCCTGCAGACACTCTGTGCAGAAGAGCACTTCCTTTCGGCCTGCGCAGGGGGATGAGGGTATTTTTGCTCTTGCTGTGCAGCTGAAATGGCTTCAGCTCTGCCGTTTGCTTTGTGAGTGGCAGGTTTATTCGGCTTTCCTTTTCAGCTGCATTGCTAACGCCACATTTCGCCTCTTACGACTGTGCTAATTTTCTATCAGTTCAGGGAGTTATAAATTTCTTCCTTATTTGTGCTTTATCACAAGAAGGATCTGGGGGGGGGGGGGGATTTGAAGCACACAGAGAAGCTTTTCATTCAGTAAAACGCACAATTTATAAGGGATTCAGAATGTTATAGTGGGGAGGTGATAGCAATATGACACAGGTCAAAGCAGCCAAACCTAACAAAACCAAGTGTGGGTGGCTCTGGTTTTCAGAGGAGTGCTTAGATAATATTTCCTTTTAAAAACTGGGCAAACAACATTACACGTGTTAAATGTCAGAGTTTTTGCTGTTTATTATGGGCCTGACCGATGCTTCACTTAGGAGCGGAAGGGTGCTTTGCTCCATGGGTTTGAGGAAGGCTCTGGTATGATTCCAGAACATGCCTGAAGCAAGGCACAGCATCCGCACACCATGGTGGCAGATGCAGGATGTGAGTCAGAAAGTTTGGGGAGCAGAGAAGGCTTGGGAATCAGCTCCCACCCCAAGCACCATCTCCAGGCTGGCTCCTGCCTCTGCACAGCTTTGCTTGACCTGCTTGTTTGTGCTCAAAGCCAAGCTGCAGCCATCCCCTTCCCCACTTCCCAGGGACAGCTCTTGAGAATTGCTGAGGAGGATGGGAAAGGGTCAAATGAACAGACATAGGGATTCCTGTGCTCACTGACCTCAGCAGCATTTACTATATCAGTTACTGTCAGTTTACAGGCAGTGGGGAGCACCTTCGAACCATGGCACAGCCTGGCTTATACACCCACAAATGATGCGTGAGTGTGAATCTCAAGCAACTTACCAGCACTGCCCTAGTCCCCACAACCCATTTAGGAACGGACATTTAGGAGCAGAGATGAAGCCAGCACAACACCTCCATCTAAAGCCAGCCGCCACCAGCAGGCAAAAGCACAGCTTTGTTTCATGTGCAGGTGTCCTGGTTATTCCAACAGATCCAGGCATAGCAGTGAGTAGTGGCTTGGAAACCCAGCAAGGTCTGCCTCTGCACCGGCTCTCCTACACAACCCTCATCTCACAACCTGCCTGGGAAGCACACAGCAAAAGGGTGTAGAAATAGGAGTTGTCTCACCAGGTTAAGAAGGAGGACACAGAAACAGGAATGGGAATGGTTTCTGGCCAGTGTGAAGAGGTTACCAAGTGGCCTCATTAAGGGTCATCAGGGTTTATACCGGTGTGTGGGTAATGATAGCCTCAGAGAGGGGAAAGTCAGAAGGCACAAAGCAAGTCTTGAAAAGGAGCCTAGTAAAGGGAATGCTGACGCAGTGCTTACATCCCCAGCAGGCTGAGGGCTTCCCTTGCCCTGCCGTATGCTCACAGACCCATTCCCAACTAGTTCAGCACATGTTTAATCACCACGAGGTACACAACACCAGGAAAGCTCAATGGAAGGGTACAGTGGGCAGGTGTAAGGGGAGGAAAAGTCACTGAGCCTCTTTTCCTGACCGACAGCCCACATGGGCTCATGCTCGCAGTGGCAGCTCCACCACAGCTCTCAGCTGCCCGCAAGAGGCCGATGGCGGTGGTTAACCTTGACAAATAACTATGTTTTGCCCTTGCCCATAGTGGCACAGCACTCAGCATTCCTGTAATTTAATGTGGCTTTAGCTCCAAAGATCAATCCCCTCTGTCTCACACCCATATCAACCACCCAAGGCAGTGGGATTCTCTCTCCTCAAGGACCTCCAGCTGCACAGGGGCAATGCATTGGGACACTTTGCAGCTCTAGACTCTTTCCCCATATGGAAAGGGAGACCTGGCCTTGCCTTCCTAGCACACAGGAGGCACAAAGCCACGCACGGGCTGGAGGTGGGAGAGGAAGCTTGGCCCAACCTCAACCTCAAACACAACCGCATCTGTCATTGCTAGGTTGGGTGGCCTGGTTTCACACACAGCATTGTTCCTGCAGCCGCAGGGACTACCCTGCAGTCGTTGAGTCAGAAGGGAAGCAGCACCGTTCTCCGTGCCTGACCAGCACTGATGGGGAGCAGGAAGGTGGGAAGACCCAAGAGATACATACTTCAAGACCCATGTACCTCAAAGCTGCACTTCAGTCCTGGGATGAAGACAGCATGCAGACAGCAGGGCATCACCTGCATTTAAGGGACACAGGAAAGTAGAGCTGAGCTTTGCCTTCTAAGTCACAGTCAGGAGGTATTTGGCCTGCATGAGAAAGGAGATGAGACCAGGCAGCACTGGCTGTAGATCTGCAAGGCCAGGGAGTCACACAGGACTATCTGGTGCATCTGACACCTCCAGGCTGGCAATTACAATGTGAGCTGCAAAAGCCTCTTTAATCAGAGCTTGAATAGGGAGCAGCAAACTTGATTGAAACAGAGGTTTTTTCCTCCCAAGAATATCCTCCTGTTTCTCCCACAGGCTGCCTTCTGCAAACTTCCCCATCACTTTCAGCACATGGCTGCTCTCCAGCCTCTTCAAAGCCGTGGCCCCCCAGGGAGGTTCATTGTCTGGCAGCCAGACAAAGGCAAACAGCCACACTATCACCCCACATACAGGTACCTGACATCCCCCACATCACTGCACCCCAAAATGCCAAGAGCTGCTGGGCCTTTCTTTGTACCAGCCCCGTGTTCATGCAAAGCCCTGTGTCTGCTTTGCATGAATGCAGTCACACGTGGCACAGATATCACTGCATCTTTGGGCTCTCAAGCCTGACAGCACAGCTCAGCCCCACTGGCAATGGCCACTGCATCGCCCTGACTTATCCCAAGACACTTCTCATGCCAGGTTTTTCTTAATGGGAAGAGGCAAAACCAGACCTCCTGCATGAAGACAATTTGTCTCTCCTGGATGAGTTCCAGCGTGAGGAGGGTACTTTATACATATGGGCTCCCTTTCATGTTTGATTGCTGGACTAAGATCACAATTGTTGTCCAGCTCAAGGGGGAGGGAAAAAAAAAAGAGCAAAAACCACACAAATCAGGAAAGCATTAGGTAAACTTAGCTAAGAATACATCTTCTGACCAAATGGAGAGCTAAGCCCTCTCATATAATTAGACTGTCTGCAGGAAGTCAGAAAGAACACACTGTGATGCTTTCAGTGCTGTGGGAGTCATGCAGTCCCCAGGAGATGTCATATCTCTTCTCCAAAGCATTGGGTTGGTGTCCCTGGATAGGCTGCAAAGGAAGAACATGGTTTAAAACCCCTCAGAAACTCTCATTGCATTCTAGCTCTAAAAGCCATAGCTCATTGAATGAAGAGACGTGCATACATGAGGACAACATGTGAAAACAAACCCTGACTGATCAAAGAGTGTTTGAATACTGGCTCTACACTTGCACAAGGTGAGCAGAATGCTGGTTTTGGTGGTAAAGGGCCAATGGCACAGCCAGCACAAAAGCTGGTTAGGTCAATGGGACTGTATTGCACACTGGAGGAAAGATACTCTGCACCAACACATAATATCAAACAATAAATGATCCCGTTCTTCCTATAATGACTCCTCCCCCAACATCCTTCTCCTTGATGGGAACAGCACAAATGGACATTGAAACACGCAGGCACAGAAGTGGGCACATGGGCCTGACACACAGGTTTCTGCTCGATGCCACCTCTGGCAAGCAGTGGGGATACAAAGGGACAGATCCTTCGCCCTCCAAAGCCAATGGTGAGACTCAAATCATCTTTCTCCCAGTCCGTTGTTTTGGGAATGGACTCCTTACCAAAAAGGAACAAGTCAACATTTTCCATTCTGCTCTCTTCCGAGACATTGAGCAAGAATAACTTGTAAATTGCTTCCAGCAACTTCGAGACAACAAGGGAACAAACAACTATCAACAAGTATTACCCTCGTTGCTTCACACGAAAGCACTTATGAGACTGAAGGGATCCTGACAGGCAATTGGAAAGTATTTCTTTTTATGCTAAATTTATTATATTTAAGACCAATTTTCCATGATTTAAAATGTGCTATGTAATAAAGGGCTGGAATGCCTTCTTTTGTCATAGTATTTCACACCCAAGGCCTCAGAGCACTTTTTCTGAATCAAACGCTGCAATAGTTTTGCCAATTAAATGTTTTAGGAAGCAAAGAACAGGGAGTAGAGGGCAATTTTCAGAGCTGTTGGTGGTCATAGAGGAGCCTATAACAAAACTGAAACAGCATCCTAATATCTGGCCTCCCCGGTCCTGTGCCAGGACCACAGGCTCTTTCCCTCCTTGTGCTGATGCCTGCTGACAACCCACCACTTCCCTTCCCCTGGAAGATGGGCTCCTCACCTGCACACCCATGCTGCACTGTGCCTTAGAAATGAAAGAAATCTGGAAAGAAAGGTGAGATGGTTTCATCAAGGGAGGAAGAAGCAGGGAACAGCCAATGAAACATTGCACATTTTGCATTGTTTCAGATTCTCCCCAGGAAGGGAAGAGCATCGTCTCTCTTGGCACCACTGTGATCCGGACCATAGCTAACTGCAACCATTTGATGGTCCCAGTTCAATTTTCATGGACAAGTAGCCAGTTGTAACTGGTGCTGTCAGACAAAGAGCTCAAAGCCTGAGCAAACTTAAAGGCTGCGCTGCTTCTTGGTGATCCCACACAAACACATATGGGTGAGGCTTTTTAGTACTTCCATGCAAGGGATCTTGCCTATAACCATAGGCAATAGTAATGCAAACTTCATTAGATTATTGGCATGTAACTAAAAGGCTTCAGGGCACTATGAGCTGTTAGCTTAACTATACCCACATAGCAAAGCTCACATAACCCCCTCCTGAGAGCACTCCTCCACCATGGGCAGGATCTGCAGACAAAACAGGGAAGAAGCTGGGGCCTTTCCACTAATACAGCCTTTCTGATGACAGCAGTATGTTAAAACCAGAACTGATTATCTGCTGATGCTTCTTACAAGCAATAGTCAGCCCTTACACACCTTCAGGTGGGATAGGCAGCAGGACCACAACCCCACCAGTATGGTCTGCAATGCTCTGCATATTCAGTAAGTTTTATGCCACAACATAAAAGCTCTCTAAGTCCCTCTCAGAGTGTCAGCTGCTATAGATATTCAAGAGCTAATTTTCCTCACAGCTTTAAAGCATGGAAAATAATGTTACTCTCATGATTTTTAGGGAACTGCTGCTATCAAGAGAATTGACTTGGCCAAAGCCACGGAGGAAGGGCTGTGGCAAAACTGGGACCTGTATATCATTTTTGCCATAGATTTCCATTCATTGTTTAAGGTATAAGGGTGACTAGAAAGGGTTACTGGAATGTAACTGGGTTTAATGCTGATATTTCACAGGATTTCATCAATTATGCCTCATATCCACCATTACTTTAGACACCAAGTTGTGTGAAGCAGAAGCCTGTGCCCATCTTAAACACTCTCGGCACCTCAAAGCAGCACACTGCGCACACAGCTGGTGCAGGCAGCGGCTGTCAGCAGCTCTCAGGAATGCACTGCTCACGGGGCGGCTCGACGGTGCACCGTCCTGCATCCAGGAGGGCTTTGTTCTCTGTGGGGTGAAACCTCAGCCTTCACTGCATTAAACGCAACTGCAGAAGCCAAAGGGATGAGTCACAAAGGCGGTTGTGTAAGCACGGGTACGATGAAAGCACAGGGGACACGCGTTTCCTTCACGGAGGATTGCTTGGGTCTGGCAAAGCCTCTCCGATGGGCACGGGCAGGCGGTTGGGGCACAGTCCCCAGCCATCTCCTCCCACCCTATGCCAGCAAGGGCTCAGGCAGATGGGTTGTGCAGGTGTTGGCCACAGAGAGCAAAGCAAAGAGCAGGTAAGGGGGAAATGGTGGGAACACGCTGGCACACAGGCCCCCCTGCAGCAGCAGTGGTAAGGTTCTGTCTGTTGCTAGTCAGGATTTGGCCAAAAAGAAGGGAACTCAAGTCCTGCCTATCCCTTCCTCAGAATCAGTGCTGCCTCTATCAGCTCCCACATCACTCCCCCTGTCCCCAGCCCCTTCTAAAAGATAAACTAGGAACGGAGGGCAAGGGGATGAGCACTCCTAAAGCTCCACCAGCTGAAGCTGCCTGCAAGGACACCTTCACCAGCGAGCAGATCACAAACAGCACTGACTATGGGATGCAAACACACTGAAGCAAGGGCTGGAGCGTGTCCTGCCTCAAGCTGGGCAGCGTTTTCCTGATCTCCTCCCTGCTCAGCAGATGGCAAAGCCTTTGCCAGGACCAAACACCTGCCGGCCACAGGAGGCACCGCAGGGCAGGCAGGATGGGATCCTGCCTCTGTGCACTGGGCCTGATCAATGGGATTTTGCTTGGGAAAACAAGGCTGCCTGTGGAGAGGCACAGAGAGAGAGGAAAGGAGGGAGAAAACACCAGTGGGTGCCGCTGCTATGGCAGGAATGCCTCAACTTCAGAAAGAGACCTGCTTGTATCCCCACAGGGTTTGGAAGGAAAACAAAAGCAATGGCTTAAAATCAGCTCCAGGCACAGTCGTGCCTTTACGCTGCCGTTGCTCACCAGTGTCCACCCCACAGCTGTGGGCTCCTTTTTTGGTGTAGGTAGAGCCTTGGAAAAGAGACCGGGGGTCGGATCCACTTTGTTCTCCTCACCCAGCCTGTCTCTTGTCCTCACCCCCTGCCTCCAGCCAGATGTGCTCCCTGCCTGCCTCCTGCCAGCCCTTGCGTTCACCCTGGTGGTAATTCAGCAATTCAGTTCAGGAAGCTGAAATCCTCAGCATGAAAGAAAAGAGGTTTCCAAGCAGAATATAAGCACTGCCTTTGAACACAGAGAATTCCTAATTTGTTATTAACAAAATAACATAGAAGAGACTGAAATATCTTCATAAAAGTCTCCTTTTAAGCTGAAGAAAAAATGCCATGAAAATACCAACTTTCTAACACCATAAATTGAGTGAGGAAGGGATGATGCCTTTACCAAAAGAGACATCAGACTGCATGGAATTTATCACTGGTTTACTCTTCTGAAATAAATCAGCTGGCAAAGTCATGACTTGACCTACTTAATTTGTTGTCCTGAAACTTGACGAGCATTTAAGATCTGCTCCCAGAGCCTGGAAAAGGAACAGGAGGGGGGGAAATACAGGCACCATATCCAAATCCCTGCACTGAGATAGCATCTTCTTTTAGACACTACAAAAAGGCACCACAACAGCAGGCAGTGGCT